GTGCCTTTTTGTTTGGGAAGGCAACAGAGTTATGCTTGTTTGGGGAAAATGGCTTACCACATAGGGAAAAATAAAGCTAAAGTTGTAAAGGGTAGCTGGTCATTCTGTCAAACATCTGGTTCCCATTTCAGGTTCTCATTATAGCCTGAATCAAAGCGACAACCATGCAGTAGTAGTCTACACAAATTGACAAGAGGACCTGGAGTGCTCTACTAAGAACAGAGGCTCACAGCAGCTTTCGTAGGGCAGAAGGGCGGAAGCTTCTGGTTTTAGCCACATGTGTAAAAGTCAGACTCAAATACTCAAGATGATTGGTTGAGTCAACAGACCCTTTTCCCTTGAGGAAAGGGGAATTAAATGCTCAAATCCTTGCCATCTTCCGGAAATGGGAAATTTCATGGCTCAATCTGTATGTTTTGAACTGCAGCAAAACATGGAAATGAGAGGGAAATCACTGAGATTATTAATGTATTTTTCAACCATATCAACAAACACATGCTTTTTCTGTCTTGCTGTAATAAGCATACAGATGAGAGAGAGAGATATTTTATTTTATTGGTGGCAGCTAATCTCTGGCTCTGATCAACTGGAGTCCCAGAATGCTGAAGACTCCCACTGTACCCTTTTCTGAAGTCATGTTCTCTAGGGTTATTTAATCAACTACAGGTAGACACAGTGTCACAAACATATTTCCTGCTCTGCTGTATATACACTTAATAGGGAACTGTGATTACCCCTGTCTCCCAAGCATGTGGTTCTTAATCACAAAAAAAATGTAAACATCTTTTTACAGGTGCACCTTAAAATGCAGCATGTGAAGCTTAAGTTACAAATTTTTCTCCTTCAATTAACTTGACTTATAAAATTCTTGTATTCAAGACCCTTGAAAGCCTTCCTGCTATGAAAATTGGTTTCTTCCATCACTCCTTGGGTTTGAGGAAAGAATGGGCCAATTCATACATTACAAACCTCATGAGGATTTTGGACCCTGAAATGGCCTGTGGAGCCACTTTTTGCCTCTTTGGGGAAACTTACGTGTAAACATTGCTTGTAGCTCTCCTCAGTGAGTCAAACAGTGACTCCCTGGGGTTGTTTCAAGCTAGGAAAATTGCTGGAAAGAGAAGGCTAAAGCCTCCTCTCCATGTCCGCTGTGGTTCTGATTCAAATTGGGCCCCATGCATGCCTGAGAATCATGGAACTCCACGCCTGATCAAGAATCTTCATGGGACTTCATAAGGTGTGAATCAGCCTTTAAATATGGTCTTTTCTTCCACTTTCAGTTAAAACTCTAGCAAGATAGCTTGTCTTTTTACATGAAGTTAGGTATGCCTAAATTTTAAGAAGGTATTTCTAATGCGCTGTCGTTAAGCTATGTTGTCTTTGGTTTGACGTTGGTAATAGGAAGTACTCAATAGTTCGTTTTTAAATTTGATAGTCTTTACTTCTAATAACAAAGGGTGCAATTTATACATCAATTTAGATTTTTTTTTCCCCTTCAGGGTCTGCAAAGCAAGCATTTGTGCCAAGATTTTACAACATGTAAATACGTTTAAATGCAATTAATTGGTTTCAAAAGCCAGACGTTTAATTAAAAGAATTTTTGCAGCATTTGACAGGCCAGATATTAGCCAGATACAAACTAGCACTTTACAACTCAATGGACTAATCTGTTAAGAATTTAGGTAAAGAAACACTGTTTTGCCTGAAGTAATTAATTTAAAATATTTTATGGCCAGTTATTAGTTATGACAAAAATGGAGGCTGAAGAAATGTCTTTTAATTAGATTTTTATTATGATAATTAACTGTATGCTGATGACAATTTTTACTGGTCAACTGTTTTAGAGAGGGGTGTGTCATTAATCATTAACTCATTGGAAGTTTGAGGAAATCCGGACCTGGAGTCTCTTAATTAGATTGTTGATGTCAGCAGTTTTAAGGGATGATAAATCATTGGATGTGTAACAGTCGTAAAAGAAATGGCTGGCTTGTCCCTGTTTTGGGGGAAGATGGGAGTTCTTTTTGTTTGAAATGTGACACTGCTAGCCTACAGGTAGAGAAGCAGATGACTCTGAAGTTACATTGACATTAATATTGCTAGTCAACATTGTAAATATGGAACTTAGAGGAACTGTAGAGTTTTAGAGATGGGTGGAACATTCAGTCCTCTCACATCTGTTTTTTCCCCCATTCTCTGATGGCCATCTGACAGCAATGCTGATTCTGTGAACTTAGGCAGATCATGAGAAGGAGGGCGGGAAGGGTTGCATCAGTGCTTAGTTCTCGTGGCCCTTTCTTACAAAGTGGCTGATTGCCATTTTGGGGTCAGGCAGCAGTTTTTCTCCAGGACAGTTTGGACAGTAATCCTGGAGGTTTTTTGCCCTCTTCTGGGCGTGGAGCGGGGGTCACTGGGAGTGTGGAGGGGGAGGTAGTTGTGAATTTCCTGCATTGTGCAGGGGATTGGACTAGATGACCCTGTAAGTCCCTTCCAGCTCTATGATTCTAAGAGGCACAAGAGCCAAGCTAATAAAAAGCACAGCAATCTTATCAATAAGTGAAACCATTCTGTGCTCCGTGAAGGAAAATTCAACGCTGGTTTTGTGTAGAACAGGGGTGTTGAATTCATTTGTTACAAGGGCCGGATCTGACATAAATGGGACTTTGTGGGGCCAGGCCGTGTGTGTCATAAAATGTAATGCCAGGTAAGTAAGTAAAGGTTCCCTTGCTCGAAAGCCAGTCGAATCCGACTCTAGGGTTGTGGTGCTCATCTCCGTTTCAAAGCCGAAGAGCCAGCGCTGTCCGAAGACATTTCTGTGGTCATGTGGCCGGCATGACTAAACACCAAGGCTCACGGAACACTGTTACCTTCCCAGTGAAGTTGTACCTATTTATCTACTTGCAATTTCTTGCTTTCGAACTGCTAGGTTGGCAGGAGCTGGAACTAGAGACGGGAGCTCACTCCGTCATGCGGCACACTCGGGTCTCGGACTGCTAAACTACCGACCTTCCACAGCCTGCAGTTCAGCGTCTTAACCACTTGAGACACTTTATAAAAGATAAAAACACAATTAAAGATATTTTTTTACTTAAAATACAAATATGCTTAAAACTCTAGTGATACTTTGTTTATTTAACAGTCTTTGATAACCGGCACCTCCCAAACCTCCCCTCCCAAAAGATGCCTGCCTAAGCTGAAAAGGTGGGGGAATAGTGAGGTTTGGCAATGCAATTTTGAAAATAAAACATCAAGAAAAAGCAGAAGGATAACAGCAGAAACTTAAAAATATAAAATGCTCTGAGCCTAGGAACAAGCTTCTCCCCTTCCCCCCAGGTCTACTCAGAGAGAGTGACAGTGGCTCTCCAGTGTAATGTCCCCCTTTGGCTGTGGAGTACTCACTCAGGCACCTGTTCTCAGGTCCATTCAGCAGAGACAAGCTGGCTCAAAACATCAGCCCTGTATTTGCAAGGAAACAACTCCAGCAAGCAACAACTTCAACTATACAAACACTGGAAAGTGAAACTTCTTGAGCTCCACTCCACTGAAATACATTGCAGCACAAAGCTGCAAAGAAAATGTGGAATGGATTTCCCATTAGGGTTTCTGGGCCCAGATAGACTACTCTGGGACTGGAATAATAGCCACCAGAGTGAAATGACAGTCCCTAGGAGTAGCAGAAGCATTCTGGGATTGGAATGAGGGCCCCCAGAGTGGAATTCCATTCCCAGAATGCTGCTGCTACTCCCAGGGGCTGTCATTCCACTCTGCGCCCTGTAATTCCAGTCCCAGAACACAGATTCTGTTGCTAGGGGCCGTCATTCCAATCCCAGAGCACTATTTCTATTGTTGGAAACAATCCCAGAGTACTCTGTCTGCATGCAGAGACCTTAATGGGAAAATCCATTCCATATTTTCTTTGTAACTTTGCAAGCCCAGAAGAGCTTCCTGTCGAAGCAGGCAAAGACAAGATGGAGGGAGGGGGAGGCAGGAGGGGGAATAAAAGAGCCACGGGCCTGATTAAAGCCATGGGCGGGCTGCTTCTGGCCCATGGGCCTTAAGTTTGACACCCCTGAGTTAGGCCATGACATATACATCTGCTGAACCCTTGCTGTATGCATGCATAAATAACTCCTAGCACTGTATCACCAAACCAATCATATTCAATATAAGCAGAACAATGCAATAAATAAATAAATACCACCACAGTGAGAGACTTCTTAAGTAACCACTGAAGTACTAAAATGTATGTAGTACTCTACATAAATGTATTGAGTTTAATTTTTGACACTCATGCTTGTTTGACAAAGGAGGGTAAAGAATAGAAACACTTCCTTCTGAGTGCAAACGTAAATAAAAAGAAAAGAAGAGATTGGATTTATACTCAGAGTCTCAGAGCGGCTTACAATCTCCTTCCTTTCCCCTCCCCACAACAGACACCCTGTGAGGTAGGCGGGGCTGAGAGAGCTCTTTCCAGAATTGTCCTTGAGAGAAACAGCTCTGACAGGACTATGGCTTGCCCATCCAGCCGCTGCACGTGGAGGAGTGTAACCTGGTTCTCCCAGTTTAGAGTCCGCACACTTAACCACTACACCAAAATAGTTATCTATTTATTTATGTAGGCTACTAGGCCTACCTACTTTTAATAGCTTCTAATAAATTGATAATTTTAGTTCATTACCCTTTGTCCACCTTGGAATTTTCTTATTCATGAATAAGTAATAATCTTTCTGAATGACAAGCTCTGACCATTCTTTTATGGGAATAATCCTGAAAGGATGAAAATACTACATCAGAAGACATCTTAACTCTTTCTTTTTTTCCTTTGTCTAAAAGAAGCAGAGCGTGTTGCTGACTCTATGCAAAGAATATGGTCAGCTTTTAAATGTTTGCCTGTCCAAAAGGTTTTTGTATTAGGGGGATTTAAAAAAAAAACATTTCATAGAATGTCTTTGGTTATTTGCTTCAGTTTGTGCAGTGCCTTATATGGGTCTTCTCTTTGTTAGATCTCAGACATTTCATGGCTACCTTGAGGATATCATCAACTACCGCTGGGAGCTGGAGGAAGGAAAGCCTAACCCCTTACGAGAATCTACGTTCCAGGAGTTGCCATTGCGTACCCGTGTGGAAATCCTTCACCGCCTTTGTGATTACCGACTTGATGCTGATGATGTCTTTGACCTGCTCAAGGTGTGTGTGAAGGAGAGTATGGAAAGGGGATGGGAACATATTCTTTACCAAGAAGGAATTACATTATATGTACAACTACTTTAAGGAAGTATCACCTGCAGGACAACTTTCAGTTCTATACCTTTCCAGCTTGGAGAACTGGAGGTAATTGGGTATACAAACCATCCTGAACAGAGCATGCTGCTGTGTATTGCCTCTGTTGCTTTGATTTTTTTTAAATTGTACCCACAGAGATATTCTTACTGATTCATCCCTACAATAAGGTGTGTGTGTGTGTGTTGAAGTTGTTTTCTGTTAAAGAAGAGTCTTTGGGGGTTTATGGAGATGTTAAATGACTGTCTTGGTTTTAATAGGTTAATCAGTCTGCTGGGAAGTGAAGTTGCCCAGGCTAGACAAGGTCTTTTTTGTCCCCTTGGTTCTACTTGGTTGCCAGTCAGAATATCAACACTTTGGAAACTCTCTTACCTTACTGTGTACCTAGTTACCTGTGTTGGTGTTGTCTGTTAGTGTTCATTTTCACACAGTTCAGCAGTGTGTTAAAGGCAGGTACACACAACGAATGCTTTGGATGGTAGCAACACTTGGTTTAGTTTTTAGGAGGCTTGTTACCCTCCTTTCCTTGGTAGCTGGGCATTGATATGCACGTGTGGGGATGGAAACCCTTTACTGCACATCAGTGGTTTCTGATTATCACAATAGCTGTGATGGGGGATGAATTAAAAAGGGCATAACTTACTTTTTGCCATCATTCCCAACATCACTGTGGAACACAGTTAAAAATTACTGTCACCTGAAAAACAAATCATTATTTTAAACATCTGCGTAAGGAAGGCATGGCCTTTTAGGGCAGTAAATGCCTGTCCTTGTGACAGTTTCCATTTAATGTTTCCTTTTCACTGTTGAGTCTCGTTCTAAGTGGCCCCTATTAAGGCAGTATCCACTTATAAATTCACAGTAACAGCTGCAATAACACCGAGAATGTCTTCTATAGCCTCTTCCCATACGTCGTGGTAAGCATTACCACAATGTCACAACAACATAGAAATGTGGACCAATGGAGAAGCAATAATGCCTCAGCATATAGCTTGCCATTACAAATAAATGGTGACTTCTGTCAATCAGTGTTCATGCAACAGGTAGTAGACTGAAAACTTTCAGAATCACCTCCCTTGGGTAATCCATTGGAAAACAGCATATTATAATTGATGTCTCTGTCAATTTTAAAGTGAGCATTTATCATGAAGAATCAGGAGATTCTTCATGAACAGTTCTCTCTCTCTCATACACACACACACACACCAGACTAAATGGATGACCAGTTTAACTACCATTTTCCATATGTGATACCTCTATGGGAATGATTCACAGAACAGTCCAGTGCAGGCAACCATTATATCAGAAGAGGCCCTTTCATAACTGCTTGCAAGGTGATGTTAAGCAATTTCAGGTTCCTTTTTACTGTGGCAGGAGAAGATGCACCTGCCTATAGCTTGCTTTGAAGCCAAGCAGAACTTTAGAATTTTGACACTAGAGAAGGGAAAGCCCAGCTGCTGCTTTGGTGTTAAAGACACAAGAGTCCACTTTGACCAAGCTTTACTGAGTCTTTTTCATGAATATATTTATAGCACACGAATCTGTAAATTGATTGACTTAGCTGGTCACATTTTGACAGCAGAGGTCTGGATACCTTAGCAACTCCAGATTTTGTAATCAGTTTTACATTCCTGGGTGAAGGAACAGGGACAATGATACTGAGAAGCAGGAAGAAAGCTGGGCTGACAGAATGGGGATGTATTAGTTGAGTCATGTGTGCAAAACTGTTCTAAGACTGCTTCATGCATATAGTGCTATTTGTCAATCTCTGTCATGAGAATTAAGAAGTAAAATATCAGAAGAAAGAGAACGTGAACCCAAGAGCTGGCATTCAACGGAGAAAAGGAATTTCATTATCTTTTTTTCACATTAATGCTTGCACGGGACCGTGCCTGAGAATAATTATATGCTGCTTCTAGCATTAGAGGGGTATTAGGAAGCAAGTGTTGGTGTGGTTTGTTATGACATGATTGTTGCTTGTCAATGATTTTTTTCCCTTATGTGTACTTCCAAACACAGGGTTTGGATGCAGATAGCCTCCGGGTGGAACCATTGGGTGAGGATAGCAATGGTGCCCTCTACTGGTATTTCTATGGCACTCGAATGTACAAAGAGGAACCAGCCAAACCAAATGGAGAGCTGGCTTCAGAAAGGTAAGGGGTAAGGAGAACAAATTTGGGGGAGACATAGTGGTTTTAAAGACTACTAGTTCTTGCAAAGGCTACAGACTTAGCACTGTTCACTAACTTCCTGATCACTACTACTGTTATTTATTTATTAATACCTGTCACTTGCAGTTTTTATGCTGGTTGCCCTCAGAATAGCTCTTAATACCTGTCACTTGCAGTTTTTATGCCCTCAGAATAGCCCTGTGAGTTAGGCGACTGTTATTCCTTTGTGCAGCTGAGGCACAGAAGCTGAGAGAATGGCACAGTCCTGGATGAGCAATGAAATCCAGAGTAGGTACAGTTTGTTGTCATCTGCAAAGGCCTGATGCCTTTTTTGTTGTCATCTGCAAAGGCCTGATGCCCTGGCAAGTAACTACAGGTGGCCTCCCTTGAAAATAAGAGACGCCAATGTTGGATCAGGCCAAAGGCCCATCCAGTCCAACACTCTGTGTCACACAGTGGCCAGAAATACCAGGTGCCATCAGGAGGTCCAGCAGTGGGGGCAGGACATTAGAAGCCCTCCCACTGTTGATCCCCCCCAAGCACCAAGAAGACAGAGCATCACTTGCCCCAGAGCCCCTATCTATACCTTGTGGCTAATAGCCACTGATGGACCTCTGCTCCATATGCTTATCTAATTCCCTTTTGAAGCCGTCCATGCTTGTAGCCGCCACCACTTCCTGTGGCAGTGAATTCCAAGTGTTAATCACTCTTTGGGTGAAGAACTTCCTTTTATCCGTTCTAAACCGGCCACTCAGCAATTTCATTAAGTGCCCACCTTGCCTGCGGTGACAGAATTCTTAAGACCCTCAAAAGGCCATGCGTTGGACTTTTGTTATCCTACACGAGAAACATTGTGAACTGGTTCCACCTCTGCTAGGGTGGCCTTGGAACAGCCATTTCTCTTTCCTTTATCCTCTTCGGAGCTAATCTCGCTTGGCTTGCAGCAGCTGTTCCAGTACTTCTTTGCTGTCACGGCTCTTTCTTTACCCTTCTGCTCTTGCCGACTGCTGCTGCTGTGCTCTGTAGCTATTCTGTAACTCTTCAATATCTTTCAGGGGAAGTGGGACACAGGCAAGCACTCCAAGCATTCCTGGGAAAGTAGTGAAAAGACGAGGACGACCCCCAAAACGGAAAAAATTGCTGGAGGAGAATCTCTTGAGGTAAAACAAAGGCACATGCTTTGAATATTCATCTAAGAGATCTTGGTGTCCAAATGCAAACCTTTATTACTTTATTTTGGTACTTAATACCTTGAGTGTACATAGCACTTTTGTGAACTAAAAGAGAAGTAAGGTAGGGAAAACGTAGTGGTAAAAGAGATGAATGTGTGCATGAAGGGCATTCTGAATCCAAACAAAAGAAGTCTAATTAAAATCTGATAATTTCTCCCTTACCTGTGGTGTCTCAAACTGTATGTGTTTAGCTAAAGTATGGTTAGCTCTGTTTAATACCTGGTTGTAATAGCTCCCTAGGTCTGCAGTAAGCGGTATAATAAAACAGGCCACCAATAACCAAATTTTCAGGGCACTCTGACCTTTCCAAATGCCACCAGTGCTAAGAGGATAGATGGCACCAGAGTTTTATCAATTGCCTGCCTCCATAGCAGTAAACCAGGGAAGTTATAACTCTTCCCCATATACTAGTAAGATTACCACCATGGTATACAACGATCAGAAGTATTGATTTTTTAAAATCATCTCCTTTAGGAGTTAATATGACAGGTGGTCTAACCCTAGTGGCAGTTGTTTATGTAAGTAGTAAAGGAAATGGTCCCATTAGTGGTATTTAAATGCCATTGATCATATAAATGGTTTTTCATGTAGCAACGAATTTACAACTATTTTATCAACTAGTTTTTGATCATGTATAGAATTGTGTTAGGCTTTTAGAAAAGGGAATATAGACTATCCTCAGGTTGCCTTACAATGTTAAAATTGCATTAGATTATACTGTGCTGTTTGAGCATCTGTGTCAGTTGGCACTAGGTGTATTTCAGTATTTAAATTTGCTTCAAGTAATGGATTAACAATTTCTTTTTTGCTTGTAGAGAGAAGGCAGAAGAAAATGCACTTGTGCATGAGGCACAGATGAGAAATGGTAAGGAATGGACAAGAGTTATGTTTAAGAATGTTGCTCTTAAGGGAGGTCTCCTGCTTGTCCCTTCTTTCTTTTACCTGTTTTATTCTGCACAAATAAGAAGCAGGAACAGATTTGGTGTTTAGTTGTTACAGCACGGGAGACCTTTGACTCTCTAATGTCATGATGTTGACATTCTTTCTGTCATGGGGTAGAATAGCACACAAAGAATCCTCCCTGGCATACATGGGCTCTCCGTCATAGCAGGAGGGAAGCAAGTCTTTATCCTCTTTGCTAGTTCATCCTCTTTGGCAGTACAGCTTTTGAGCTTATTGGAGGCACCGTGTCTTCTTTCCTCATCTCTTCCATCCTGTCTAGCTATTGAGCTGAGCCCCACCTTCCCAAAAAAGCCCTAAGGGCACTGGACTGAATTTTCCCCTGTAAGTATCAGCTGAGAAGCCTGGGCAACCCCCCCCCCCCCAAAAAGATTTTTCAAAGGCTATGTTGCATCAGCATTCAGATATGGAAGCATGATTGGAAGAGACACCCAGTTTGCAGGAAATCAGATATTTCCCATATTCTCACTAATGCAATAGTTTTTATGATGATGCCATGTCCATATGGGTAAGTGACACCCAGTCTCTGACTGATCCTATAGCTGAATTCTTCTACATATAAATATTATGTGACACTGCCTGGTGTATTTGGTAGACGGGAAATTGTTTATATGACAGCACACGTTTTTAGAAAGTTATGGTTTGTCTTTTTAAAATGACAAGAAAATTTAGAAAGCACAGAGCAGCTGTCGGGAAAAGACTGGCTTTGGTAAGCCAGTTGGGATTTCAGTATGACACTGTGCTGACCAATTGCTCTATCCATGGTTTTAATTTCACAGCATTGAAGTTTTCACTAGCATCTAAAACCAGTGATGTATAGAGTTTTAGAGTGTTGTAGTAGAACCATGAATAGATCTTCCATGAAGTCTTCCCTCAGCCATGAAGCCCACTGAGTGACTGTGGGTAAAAATCCAGAAAATGTAGGTGGTTCAAATGCCTGAAGTGGAAATATGGACTATACTGTGAGTCTGCAACATATGAAGTTGTTGTAAAGTGCTAACCAAATAAAATAGTCAGAAATATAGAACAACATTACTATACAGTAGTGTGCAAAAATGAGAGCTCTGAAAGCTCAAGAAATGTGATGCCTGTAAGGAACAATGTGTTTTTCCAAGGTCAAGGATACCCCTGACATGGTTTGTTTTATGGATGGTTCTCAAGGACCAGGTCATGGAACATGGTGGTTGCTGTGTCAGACAGAAGAGGAGTGGAAGCAGGTCACAGAGAGCTTCCGAGAGAGAACGTCTTTGAGAGAGCGACAGCTCTACAAGCTCCTCAGTGAAGACTTTCTGCCAGAAATCTGCAACATGATTGCACAAAAGGTAAGGCTGAATATTTGATTCAGCTGAGGCACCTTCAAGTATTGTGGCAGGCATACTTATTGGAAGTATGAAGAAAAAGACTCCAGGACTGAGATTCTGTGTTTGGATCATTCAAAATATATTGTTAGAATAGAGTAATGAAATTGTCTTAAATGAATTTGTAAAATTTGAGTGCCAGGGCAAGAGAGGAAATTGATATACTGAAAAGTATGAATTCTTTATGCATTTTTTTTGTAGGGCCTCAATAAACAAGAACTATTTTGTTTGGGGGAATTAGGTGGTTCCATGACTGGTGGTTTAGGGAGCAGGTTGAGTGCAGCTACCCCATTCTCTTTTGAGTGTCCCAGTGTATATGGTATTCTGCCCCCCCCTTAGATCAGAGTGGCACCGATACAAGGAAGGGGTTACCTTATTCTGGGGTATTTGGCATGACCCATATGTGTAGGTACATATGCACTCTTCTTTTGGTGCACCCATTTTGTTTTCATGTTCCAAATAGCATGGGATGATTGGGATGTGGGCTTAAGGCTAATAAACAGATGAAACTGTCATAAATAGATGGAGTTGACTGGATGATCTCTTAGTGATTTTCAGTGTAATAATTCTATGAGATTGTGAATCTCAAGGAAAATTCCTAATCGCAGCAATGTTCTGACATTTTGGAATCTATACTTTTTTAGCCTTGCTCTTGAAAAGTATGTTAAACATCTTGTCTGTCGGCATGTCAACACTGGTTCCTGTTCTTTGGGAAGTTTTGCATGATTCTGTTCTAGTAAATGTGTTGTGATTGCATAGATCAGTTGAGAATAAACAAGGAAGGAATTCAAATCCCTTTGTACAGTGAAAATTATCATAGCCTGTATTATTACTAATTGAGGATAGATGCATTTAATGGAAAGCTTCTGTAGCACATCTGGCTCTCATCTGTATTTACTTATTTCCCTAATTTCAGGAGAAACGTTTGCAGAGGATGGAATTTTCTCCCAGATGGATATCTGATCATCAGCACATCAAACCAATGCGGCAAGAGGTAAGAGGCCCCTTGACAATGTGAGGGCTTGGCATGTTTCAGCTGACTTTGGGTGTAAATATTTATGGTAGATGCAAAGGTAACATTGCATATTTGATGTTTTATTATGTGGCAGCAGGTTAAACTGGCATAGCTGATAATGTTAGCCATTATAATCCCGGCAATCTTAACATCAGCAGAAATGATTAAGCACATTTTTCTCATAATGACAGGATTGTTGCAACTTTCGGGTATACTAGGATGATGGAATGCTCTGGTCTAATGAAGGGTAGCACCAATCTGACTATCAGAAAAGTCTGGGAGACAGCCTGGACAGTGGTGATATTTATATAGTGTTGCTGTCTGAGATGCAAGAAGTTCAGATGAGTTTAAGATATCCAGTAGTGATCACATTGTGCTCTGCTGCGAATTCTGGGCATAATTTCTAATTCAAGCAAAGCTGTTTCTGAAATAGCTTGTTAATTTCAGAAATCCTCCATTATGTCAGATTTGAGATTGAGTGTTCCTGTTGAATTTGCGAAGAATGGGGTATTAAAACATCTGGGACATGTGTGGGAGAAGTGTAAACAAGCAGAGGCAATTAAAAATACGTAATTGTTAATTGCAGGCATTGTTCTCAATGTAAGGATGTTCTGCCATCCTAGTTAATACTTTGTACCAAATGCCTTGATTTGCCAGATATCTGGTCTGCCTTGAGAATCTTGTAGGTTGTAGTAACTCCTTTTCAGTTTTTCAGTCCCAGATCTGGAGACATATTTGTCTATGTCTTGGATGTTATGTTATATGAACACAGCAGCACTCACGGAAGTGTATATGCACTGTAGAAGTCCATTAAACAAAGGTGCCAAGAAAAGGGGTGCATATTGCAGAATTAGTTCAGTTTTCAGTCTAGTGACTTGCAACAAAAAGCCATCCACAGAATAAGATGATGTGTACTTATATGTAGCAGCAATTTTTCAAAGACAAATGGGTGCTAATTAGTAGGGCCCACGGCACTTAGTGTAAGTTAATTGCTGTCTGTGGGGCAGAGTGTTTCAGGCTCCTGTAGACATAACCCCAGCCCCTTGTACGTTTTCTGGATACAAGTCTCTGGACATGCCTATTTCCAGGAAAAGAGGAATGGCAGCTATTTCTACAGTTCCACATGTACTTCTAGTTCTCTTTAATTAGCAAAATTTGATACAAATATATTGGGAGAACTGGGTTTGCTAGACACAACCTTCCTCCTTTCCTGCCATGCGTCCCATCAGTGGGAGCAGCCCTTTCCTCATAGCTCTAAGTTTCTGATGTAACTCATCTGTAGGCTTCTAATCCTTCAGGGTATTTCTCAACAGGTGGTTCAGATTAGCTTCTCATTAAAAACCTTCCAAGAAGTACCTTCATTAAGGAGACGTTACGGAAATCCTAGTGGAGACTGCACAGAGGGAGAGGGGAAGGGGCAAGAGCTGTGCAATGTCTAGGATGAAGTCGAAGCTGTGATGAGACTTCACATCTTGTATTGTTGAAGTCTGGGAGGAGGCTGGTGTCAGCATGGAGAGCAGAGATCCAAAGTCCCTCAGCCTGTTGTTCTTCACAGCATAACCCACAGTGCCCTCTGCTGCAGCTATGTGGGTGATACAGCCAACCTGCAGTCATAAATTCTTCCAACGGCGTTTTCACTCACACTCTACATCACTCAACAGATGTGCAGTTAACTCAGTTGTTGTGGGGATTTCTCACAGCTTTCTTCAAAGAAGTGTTTCTGTTGTCAAGTGCTGTGTTTTGCCAACATTCAAAAAAGCAAGAATTTCTTGTTGGATGGAAATTAACTTGATTGAACTTGGGACTAACTGGGAATAGCTGCAGCTGAACATAAACTGACCTCTCCATGGTTAACACCCTGTATAATGCCACTGGTGTATGGAGTGCTTTATGGAACATTATAAGCAAAAAGCAGATCCCTGCCTCAAGTTGGTTACAGTTGACATTTATAGAGCAAAGACAACCTAGCATGGGGGAGAATATCCATTTACACATACCTATACTTTTGTGTCAGGTGGAGATGAGGACTTACAGGGTTAAGGCAAAAGCTAAATATCTAACATTATTTTGACTCCATGTTAAAGTAAGGACTGAACTGAGTGTTCTACAGTGAGCATTATTGATATGGAGACTTAGTGCCCTGATTTCTCACAACACTTAATTTTTTCATGCCAATGTTGGATCAGGGCAATGGCCCATCCAGTCCAACACTCTGTCACACAATGGCCAAAAATAGCAGGTGCCATCAGGAGGTCCACCAGTAGGGCCAGGACACTAGAAGCCTTCCCACTGTTTCCCCCCCCCCCCAAAAGCACCAAGAATACAGAGCATCACTTTCCCCAGACTGACAGTTCCTATCTATACCTTGTGGCTAACAGGTTCTGTTGCAAAAGGCTGCTCATTTGAACACTGCAGCTAAGATCACTTTCAACCACTTATTCTGCATTCAGTGACCTCCACAGTAGTTGAAAGAGGCAATGCACAGTGAGACCAGGTGAACATGCAGACAGGCTGTATTGAATACGAGAGGGCTTACTATGGTGGGTGAGGGGAGGAGGCAGGAGCAGAGAGAGCAAAGGAACTCTTGCTGCCACTTGATCAGCAAAGCTTGAAGCAGCGACCTGCTGACCCAGAGCCAGCCACCGCCTCTTGTGCATCTGCCTGGTATCTCAGAGCTGCCTTGCCCTTGCTGGCATTACAGTTTATGCAATTTGCAGCTTACAATCACCTTCCCTTCCTCTCCCCACAACAGGCATCTTGTGAGGTAGGTGAGGCTGATAGAATTCTGAGAGAACTGTGGCTGACCCAAGGTCGGCCACTGTCTGCTGCTCTTAACCATTACACTGTGCTGGCTTAGAACAGTCCTGATTCCCAGTAGTTGTGACGCACCTCCGCCTCGTGCTCCTTGCCAGACACCATCATCCTGGGTACCCCTTGGGCCACCCACCCCCCCTTTGACCCTACAGCAAGATTCCCAGAGGTCTCAGATCAAAGGCAGGCAGAGGAGGTTACATCACTGCCCTCCACCTGCCCATCTGGTGCTCTTGTCGCTTCCCTCTCTCTGACATGTGACAGCGCGAGCTACCAGGGGGAATCCTCCTCACCCATCTGGCTTCCCTCCTTATATTCCTCTCCTGGGTCCGCCCATCCCACAGTAGCCCCACCCCTCTCCTTAAGCCTACACACCGAGTGGGGCTGCTGGGCTTGTGTGTCTTGTCAGGGTCTTGCAGGCCCTGGAGGCACCTCCTCTTCCTGGCCTAAGGTTTCCCTCACTTGCTGGGCTGGTTGGGCTTGGACGCCTGCCTCTTGTGCAGGGCTGGGCACAGGCCAACTTGTCAGCGCCGGGTCATGTGGAGGCTGTTCCACTGCCCCAGCCAGTAGCAGTGACAGCTTGCTCCTGTGCCTCACCCGCTTCACCTGGCCTCGTGGCTGCCAGGCGCCCGGCCTCTTCGGCTGGCTGCACCAAACTCCCTTGATCCTAGATGAGTGTGGAGGCTCATGTTGCTGCCAATGCTCTTGGCGGGGTTGGGCTCTTCGGGGCCTGCAGGAGTTGTCAGGGGGCAGACCAGTGGAGTAGAGCCAGGAAACCAGTGCAACATGGTAGATTTCTTCCTACCAATCCTTTGGACAATTACCTGTTTGCCCAATATGCCTATCCATAAGAACATAAGAGAAGCCAATGCTGGATCAGGGCAATGGCCCATCCAGTCCAACACTCTGTCACACAGTGGCCAAGAATACCAGGTGCCATCAGGAGATCCACCAGTGGGGACAGGACACTAGAAGCCTGGAGGGAAGCGGCACTCACTGGGCTCTTTAATGTACTGCATGACTACTTGTCTTTGCTTTGCTAATAAAGACCCCCCCAAAAAATTTTTTGCCTCATTGCTGAATGTTGTTGTTTCAGCACAGAACTGAGAAGGTGGTTTAATTACTTGAAGCTCTGTGCCTTTACCATTCTTTATAAGTGCTCTTTGAATTCTTTCCTACCACTTGACACTAGCACTTTAACAGTCAAAAGTTTAAAACTAGACCTGTTTACAAAATGTATAAGTCTTGGGAAATAAGCTTCTAGAAAGCTGAATTAAGATGGCTTAAATATTTTTGGAGACTTTCTTTTCCGATAGTCATCCTTGTACAACCACAGTGATGCCAGGGACTTCTGTGTCTGAATAAACTCTTCAGGGACAATCCTGTAAGTGGTCAGATGAAATGGACTAAATGATTTTAAAAGGTCTCTTCACTCTTTAATTGCTCTGATTCTCTTTAAATGATTCTCTTGGGATGTGTTGCTGTGGATTAATTGGGTACTGTGGCAACACTACTTCAAGTACACAAGATCATTCTGTAGGACAGGGTTACACTCAAAGGACGCCTTGCGTTCTGATGTGAGGAGCACGTGTTTGTATCCAATTCTCTGTTCTCTTTGCACTTTTCTCACAGGATATGGTATGTTGAAAGGAACCCAAAGCTCTGATCTTTTTAACCCTTGCCTAACTACAGTATTCTGCGATTGGCATACAGAACCAGGAGCCTCAGAGCAGTTTCCTTAATGTATGTCTGCTGCCAGTGGCAGGGGTGGAGATGATGTGCAATGATTCTCCAAGGGGCCGTTACTGAAGGAAATGACTAAATAGCATTTTGGCAACAACAAAAATATAGAGCCACTTAGGGTATCTGTAGAGGAAGCTTGCCTGCTTTCCCTGCAATTTGTCATTGCTTCCTCAGTTCCTTTTTGCAGGCAGGTAAAAAAAATGGGGATGGATTTGAAAAAAAATGAAACAATAACTGAAGTCCATTTTCCCCCTCTGGATTAATGATGGGTCATGGTCAGAAGGGAAGTGAAAAGGCTCCAGTTGATCATTAATCCTCAGGAAATGCCTTGTGCCTAGAGCTTAATTCTTACTAGAGCAATAAACTTCTATCTGGGGTATACCACTTGAAGGTCACAAAGTTAGGGATTACATGTGATTTAAATGTTCCTGCACATAAAAATCTATGCACAGAAAACTAGCATGCCAGGGAGAAGGGTTGCAGCTTAGACTTTTCCCCGATAAACTCTGGTATATCAATTTTCTAGTTGGTTTTTGGAAAATAATAAAAATTGTACATGTGAGCCCATATCAACTGTTTGAAATGGTTCAGCATAGACACTGCATTGCCATCACAGTACCACATTTACAACTTATATATAAAGGGATAGAACCTAAAGGGGTAAGAGTTATTTCAGTAGTAATATCCTCTCTTAGCATTGGGAAAGGACCCACTCCCTGTATATCTGCAAGACAGACAGAGATAATGCTAGATGTGTAAGTTACTTGGCGGTGGTGGTGGAGGAAAGTGCCATCAAGTTACAGTTGACTAATGGCAACCCCATAGGATTGGCAAGACAAGAGATGTTCTCAGGAGGTTTGCCATTACCTTCCTCTGTGTAGCAACCCTGGACTTCCTTGGTGGTCTCCATCCAAGTACTAACCAGGCCAACCCTACTTAGCTTCTGAGAACTGACGAGATTGGGCTAGCCTGGACCATTCAAATCAGGGTGTAAGTTATTTAGAGATGGCCAAAATTAGAGTTGACTTTTTAAACAAAAATAGGAGTATGCACAACTCCTGTGCTGACGGCTCAAGTGTCTCTTATGGCAATCTATTATATCATCATAACTAATGATGTATATAATGGGAAGTGTACATCTATATATCTAATAGCCAAATTGCCCCCTGGTGTGCGGATATTTATTTCCGCACATTGGGGGCACCTGGAGGGGAGGGAGTGTTTTGTGCACATGTGGGGCGGTCCCCAGATGTGCACAAAAATCTAAAAACGCGCTAAAAATATCGGGGGGATACTTAAATCCCCCCAAAAGTGACAGAGCGTCCCCTGCGCATGCGCAGGGGACGCTCTGCAAACTCCCTGAACGCCGCCGCTACCGCTTGGGAGCCGGGGGGCCCCGCGAGGCCCAGG